GAGCTATTTTTTTATTTGTAAAGCCTCCTTCACTTCATGAAATGGCTGCAGCATAAGGAGGCAGCCTCTGAGAAGTGCAGCACCAGCGCGTACACACCGCCTTCACTGTGTTCCCCATTCAGGCTGCTACGTTTCAACCACACACACCTCTACACACACACACACATCGAACGGCCTGATTATTTCCCCTATTACTCGTTGTATGAAGGAAATGTCCGGTCACAAAGGTGCATGATGTGTGTGTGTGTGTGTATGTGCTCTGCTCAGCTCCGCTGTGTGTGTGTATGTTCGGTGTGTTGGTGTGTGTCCAACAACGGCATTTGTTTTCAAATTACCATGAACAGTAATTTACACACATCTGGCCAACTCCATAGGTATGTGGGTGTTCTCAAAAGAAGTTAGTTTAATCTTAATCTCGATGTAGTGCTAAATGCTGTCGGAGTGCACCGGAACGAACGCCCCGGTATGACGTTATTATTGCTGGCAAACAAGCCCAGGGGTCTCACTGACATTTCCGTTATATCAATATGTGTACAGTGGTCCTAATTTGTTTGAATTGTATCCTGGTTTTAGACGTTGTTAATATGTTTTGGATCCATATTGTTCTATTATTTGCTCAGGCTGTTACATACAATTAGCCACTGTTGCCACCTATATTAGGCTATATTATATATTATATTAATATTTGTAAAGCGGTCCTAATTTTTTGTTTTAATTGTATCCTGGTTTTAAACGTTGTTAATATGTTTTGGATGCATATTGGTATTTCTTCAGGCTGTTAAATACAATTAGCCTCTGTTGCCACCTGCTGGTGAGTAAATATTCAAATTAGTTAAAATTGACAACCGGTCCGTGAATTTTTTTTAATGTTTCTGCCGGTCCTTGCCACAATAAAGGTTGGGAACCCCTGCCCTACGGCACTGTTGATACAAGTGATGCATGAGCTTAATGCCCCGTGATTCGGATCACATGTTATGGATGCTTCCTTGGCCCATGAAAATAGGGCAAGTCGTTTGTCTTCTTTAATCAGATCAAAAAGAATGTCAACATTTATACCCAAAGTTCTGAATGCAAATGGCCAAGGGCTTGATTTTTTGCAAACGTCATTGCACGTGCAATTGGCTTATTGAGTTGCAGCAGTATTTTTAGACAATTTCACATTGCCAGCTTTTCTTCATACTGAATAGACCGATTATTTAGGCCCACAAATTGGTTATAGTGAGTCCATCGAGTTAGAGACACAACTTCTTTTGGGTCTGCCAGGTTGCTCATGCTAATCTTATTGTTGAAAATTGCATTGAAACTAAAACATGTACCTCTACTTGTGTCCCACAGAGTGTTTGTCAACAGAAGCTTGGCAATGGAGAAGATTAAATGCTTTGGCTTTGACATGGATTACACTTTAGCAGGTAAGTTTGATGCACATTTTATATATTTTGTATCTTTTAAGGAAAATAAGGATTTAAGGTTTTCTGACTTCTTTTTAAATTTCACAATTAAACTTTGGCGAAATGTGACGTTTATTCTAAAACTATGTGTCATAAATGATTATTGTTGATTGGAACACAGTTGATAAATGTCTTGATAAAGTAATCTATAGTTCCAAAACTGCGTTTTACTTTTTGGTACTTTTTAAATGTTCGGTAGCAGTCAAAGTTGGCCAGAGGATTGCTTAACAGATCTTCAGTCTCCTGGGTGAATTTAGATTTTTAAAGAATTTGGAATCCATAACAAAACAAATCTCCAAGTATTGGATATGAACATATTTTGCATGGAAGTTAAATTCTCACTATCCTATCTTTTCAACTCTATATCTGGCCACCCTACCATCCCCCCAGGACTGCAGCTATTCCACAAAATATTATTTAGGTCAACGCCGGTGACACTTCGATAAGAAAATGTTAAGCCGAGCTCCCTGGTACACAGAGTATAGAGATGTTCTTGTTCCTACTGACCTCTAACCTGGTTGAAAATACCCTGATTTTAAAGCCACTCTGTGCTTTGAGTGACTCAGCTGCAGTTTTTGGTCTTGCTGTCTCTATAAATACATCCTCCCTGACTTTGAAAAGCGGGTCACGTTTGTTTTTGTCCAGTGATGGCTCCCATGAGAACGGGGATCACTCGTAGTCCCTCTCCGGCACCGCGGTCAGATCCCCGCTCAGGCCGCCGGAGATATTACAGACGCTCAGCTGTTGACATGAGGCACTTTATGGGCGCTCATAACAGAGTGTTAATGTTTACTGAAAGCACGGCTATCATGTATCTTTCTGGATGCTGTTCAGGTTTAGATTCACAGAGGTACTCCATCATCAGGGAGCTGGTGGTGTCACAGCCTGGCTGCTGTTAAACCACAGCCCCCCTGGTATTTGTTTATCAGGGGGTTGTTAACGGCATTTCAAATGTGCAAAATGCTCGAAATGTGGGCTTGTTGATACAAAGTATTTCTGTGAGGAAATATCGATATATATTGAGGAATTTTGCCTTGAAAAATCAAGGTATGAAAAAAATGGTACGCCCTTTCTGATTGGCCAACAGGAGTCCATTAATGTTGTATACCAATTGCTATACAGTATAACAACTTATGTGAATGATACTAATCAGATATTCCACCATAGAGAAGTGTATCCTTAATGACTAGTGCAGCAACCAGTTGTTGACTAATCAATAAGTTGGTTGACAAATATATTATATTGACAATTATATTATAAGATCATAATAATAACGAGTAATTATAATTGTAATCATACTGTCAGTTTTAATGCAAAAAATGTAGATTTTAAAATGTGGAGATTTTCTGCTTTTCTCTGTTTAATAACATATTAGAAAATAATATTGTTGGTTTTTGGAGTGACAAAACAAGACATTTAAACATTTCTCTGGGCTTTTAGAAATGTTTTACACATTTTCTGAAACTTTGGAGACTGTTTTATCTAGAAAACAATCGGCAGATTAACAATCAAGACTAAAAAATAGTCATTGGTTTCAGCCCTTTAAGTGGACACTCCTTATTCAGTCATGTTTCATACTTTTTCACCTTTATGTGGTTTTAGAACAAAACAATCAAGTAGATTTTGAGCAATAGTTGTATTTACCACCTGATCAAGCTGATTGAACATGTCACAGCCCAAGTTGACATTGATCTTAATTCATCCATAAAAACATATAAAGCTCAAAGGTTGCTGATAGATTTACAACTACTACAATGCTTGCATAACACGTCACATTTTGTAGTATTTCATAAGAATGCAACCAACATCAGACAACATTGCCTCATCTGTTCTTTGTGCCCCAAAGGAAGCACTTAGCCTGCAGAATGTTACCCAACCACTCTGTAAAGCCAAGTTTTCACAGAGAAAAACACATATTTTTGTCCTAGTTTTCAAACACACTTTTGGCTGCCCTGTAGATCCCCGAGGCTGCACTTCTATTTTCTTCCCGATATCTTTCATGGTGTCATAAATCTGTTACAAAGGCCTACATTTGCGTGTCGGCAGCCGCAGATAAAATAAAACGGATGACGCGTTAGATTCTAATATAGATAGCTATGTGGCATGGTTCAGATTGGTTCACACTTTTATGGGATTGTGTTTGAGGGCTCTATTAGGAAAAGGGTGCGGGTTGTTTACTGTGTGTGTGTGTGTGTGTGTGTGTGTGTGTGTGTGTGTGTGTGTGTGTGTGTGTGTGTGTGTGTGTGTGTGTGTGTGTGTGTGTGTCCTGGAAAACAACAGTAACAGGACTTCTGCTCCTTTTCTGTTGTATTATCTCAGATGCCTCTTGTAATAAAGGATGCATCCTTTCATGACCGCCCTCAGTCATTGAAAACAGGTCTGCCAATGACTCCACTGCTTTAGCCTTTAAACATTTCAGATAGTGAGGGATGTTGTGTGTCAGTGTTGAGTTAGGGAGGGGGGGGGGGGGGCTTGTTTTTGAAGTCATTCAGATGTCAAATGGGTTCAGTGTCATTAACGTCACACAAACAGGGAAAGAGATGTTATGATTATGGTGAGGGTTTTTACAGTTGTGTTAGCACAGATCTGGTTATTCTGTCTGATAACATATTTCTGTGAGAGGGGCTCAGAGGGAAAAAAGGTGTAGTGTATTTCTTTGGACAGATCAGATTTAAACATTTCATGTTTTGGTTTCACCTTTCCTTTAGTGTGTTTTTTAGGTTTCTATGCATGAAACGCCTCCATTGGACTCCTTTGTTTTACTTCTGTGACATAATGACATCACTATGTAACACTCGCGCTTCGGTTGGCTATCGCTCTAACACAGTGTATGGATAAGGGGCAGGACATCTCTAAACAGTTGACCAATCACAACAGAGCCTGCCAGCTAACCAATCGGAGCAGGCTGGGTGAAAAGAGGTGCTGCAGCACAGGCAGTATGAGAACAATAAAGAGCTTTTTCAACATTAAAGCATGGAAACATGTCACAGTAGAGACACAACGTACAAATAAGAACCTGAAAATGAACCTTTTAGATCCTCTGATTTGAAACCAGGTTTTTAATTCAGTTGTGAAATTGATGGCGTGTAACAACCCTTATCTGGTTATTATGTACGGTAATAAAACAACTTCCTGCTCCTAAATGACAAGCGTGACTCACTTTGACATTACCTAGAGATGAGATTTTATTGGCCGCTATGCGAGTGGGAGGACCGCCCCAGTGTCCCAAGGTCAACACGTGGAAAGAGCCCCAGAGAGAAAGAGAGAATGATGATAGCAAAGGTGACAGAGGGGAACAGCTCTTAAAATAGCTTTCTTTGTAGAGCTTAAAGAAGATTATGACAAGCGATGGACGAGAAGCAGGAGGAGTACGGGCAGTTTAGTGGCTGTACACTGCTGCTCCGGGCACCCGGCCCAAAGCCTCAGTTCTGCTGGGAGACCACAGCGGGGGGGTTGTAGAGGGAGAAAGGGGGAGAGGTTACGTGATTGTAATGCAGAAACAGGCTCATGCTTTCAGAGCTGCATCAACAAAAGCTTTGCTCTACACAAGATTTTCCTGTAACCCCGTGCATACATTAAGCTTCTGTGTGTAACTCAGCACGGAGTAGGACACAGATGTTTGTCCTCCAATGCTGCCCCCCCCCCAACCCTTTCTAACTGTCCTCTATCCAAGCATCATCAGCCAACATTTCTCCCCCCCCTCCAAGGACCTTCCGCAAGCCCCACTGGGACTGTGGAAAGCAGGCAACAACACAAGCACATTCTCCCAATCGTATTTATAACATCTGACATGTTCTCTTCCCAGTGTCACATAACATTTAAATCCTCTGCGGGGTTATTCTGAGCGCAGCATCAGTCTGAGTTTTGTTTATTTTCAGAGACCCCCCCCCCTCCTCTCGGTTTTGGTAAATATGTAGCGGTGACATGGTTGGGAGGGCTCATCAGTGACTTTTCATTTTCACGCCTGATCCTGTTTCTTTCTGTGGATTTGTGTTCAAAACACAGAGGGCCTTGTTGATAGCGAGGAAAGACAAGGGCAAGTGTGTGTGAAGGGGTGTGGTGGGGGGTTTCACTGGAGAGTGAGAACATTTCAACAAAATACTGAGACAGCACAACGGACTCTCAAGGGGATGAGAGAAGTCTTGTGTGCATGTTGAGTGACACTGTGAGCTCCACTGATTGTGTGTCGCCTCTAATGAAACCTTGTCAGTTGCGTAATGGCAGGTCATGTTCCTTTAACTGTATACATAATATAGTGTTTGTGTACATTTTGCATGTATGTGACATGTTCCACAGGCTTGACCTTTACCACTTCAACAGCTGTAAATGACCGACTGTTGTCTCAAAGAGCACTACTGTCACCTTTTGAAGAAATCTGTAGTTATTAAACCAAGTCTCCATACACACTTTTTTTTAAAATACGTTTTTTTTAACTCCTATGTGAATTTCTGACCAACATATACAACAATTTAAAGTTTTACTTTCAAAATGACTTTAATTACTGATCGAAATGTTGTTTATCTTTTATATTGATCAGATTCTTTCTTGTTCTTAATGTCAGAAAATGACCATCACAAGTTCAAATAGTTTGTTTTGTCAGATCAAAACACCTAAAAAATAATAACATCATATTAACTTAAATCAGAGAAAAAGCTGAAGAAAAACTTAATTTTTGTAAAGCTGAAATCACGGGACCTTTTGAATTTTTTCTTCATAAATGTCAAATATGATATTTATTATATATTCCTTGTCTGACGAACGACTAATTGATTAATTGACTTTGTTGTTATTCAGTTCAAAGTGACCAACAAAGTCTAACATTAAAGCATTGATCAGAGTAATTGGTTCAATAAGCCAGAAATAAAACAACCTATGAACATACTGTATACTGTATGTAGCATTGAATCTTTTTTTTTTTTTTTTAAATGTCAACAACAAAAACCTTTTATATAGCAGATTAGACTCCAAATTGTACTGTAGCATCACATGCATTGTTACCTTTTATTGTGTTGAATGTGTGTGTCTGTTTAATTTCCAGTGTACAAGTCACCAGAGTATGAGTCCCTGGGTTTCGAGCTGACGGTGGAGCGGCTGGTCTCAATCGGTTACCCCCAGGAGCTGCTCAGCTTCGTCTACGACCCGACCTTCCCCACCAGGTCAGATTTCATTAATGCTTATAAACTTAGGTATTATGTCAGTAAACGAGACACCCATATGTAAATGAGTTTTGTCATTGTGTGTGTAAGGTCTAGATGTGTTTCATTATGGAAATACACACTGGAAATGACTCGATATACAAATCTATTTTTCGGTCTCTTTTGGTTACTTATTGTATTCAACTATAGTTTACAATACAACTATGCGTTTTTTTTTTAGCTCTGTATTACACTGAGAGTTTTATATGTCAATAATGTTCAACATTGTGATACACGGTGTAAATGCTGCACTGTAGACTAATGAAGCATCTATTCCCTCAGGGGTCTTGTGTATGATACCATGTATGGAAACCTGTTGAAGGTTGATGCCTACGGTAACATCCTGGTCTGTTGCCATGGATTCAACTTCCTCCGAGGGTAAGTTTGTCCGCCCCCCCCCCCTCATCTGAAAAGGATCATAAATCATAATCCAGTTTAAGAGCTTTGCAGGGTTTGTTCAAAGTGTTGAAAGTTTGGAAAATGCTTAAAAATAACAGTTTGTTTTCAAGCTTGGTATTATACTTTGATTTCAATTAAACTCCCTTAGAAATGCTTGATTATAATCACATGTCTACAAATATGTTATTGCATTATAAGCTTTTAGTTGGTTGTCTTCTGGGAATTTAGCTCAAAATTAAATAATCGTGATCAAGAAATTAAATTACCGTAATGTTGAAATGAACAGCTGTTAGAATAAGCATTTACATTAGGGTTGGTTAAATGACCTTGAAAGTGCTTAAAAAGTGTCTAAAATGCTTTACCAACCTAGATCTAGCTTTTTTTCCGACATTGTCAGCTCTAAATATATGTGAGCTAAAAAAGAAAAAAAGGGCCAACAAAGATTTACTCTTGACTTTTTCTCCTTTCCCAGCCCCGAGATCCGCGAACGGTACCCAAACAAGTTCATCCAGAGGGATGACACAGAGCGCTTTTATATCCTTAACACACTCTTCAACCTGCCAGGTAAGGCCTCTGAGCTCAGAGAAACATCACGGGACTGTTGCAGAGAATATAAACCTGCAAGACTTTTAATCTGATTAAAAGCTGAACATGATGTTATGGGAGATTGAAACCGAGCATTTTCCCTGTCAGATGATCGAGCTGCTTCCTCACTAAAGACCCCCCTTCCCTCCTTTCTTTTTCCTTCACAGAGACCTACCTCTTTGCTTGTCTTGGGGATTTTTTCTCCAACTGTGATAGATACACAAGGTAAGGAACTTTTTGTAACACTATCTGTCATGTAACAAGTGTCGGGTGACACAAAGACAGTTGCTCACCAAACCTGGGTCAGCATGGGAGGGTGCAGGTGTCTCAACTGCTAATCTAAGCTAATTTTTAAAAATGGAAATCAAATAGGAGTACAGCCATCTTTGTTTCTCTGTAACAATGATTTATATTAATCTCTTCTACTAATGGTAGAAAAGCATGGATTACTATCAGAGTGAGATAGGAATGAACGATGTTCTCACTAACTATTTAAAGAGAATGAAATCCTGATATAGCTACGAGATAATCTTTTAAAATGTTACTCGGAGGAGATCTAATTTCCTGTCAATCTGTTGAGAGTGTAATCTGGAATGGTTGCATGTCCTTTGTCCTCTGAAACCTGGTTGTTGGTCTTTTAGGGGGAGAATGCTTTCCTGTTTGGCTGGGGACCCCTCCAACAAGGGAAGGCTATCCCATTTAAAAGCAAACAAAAAAACAAAATGTCATGTTTTTGAAAACCTTCTGTAAAAATGTGGCCTGTCCGACGGCTGTGCTCGTGTGTGTCTGTGCTCCTCTCCCCCAGCTGTGAAAGTGGCTTCAAAAATGGCGACCTCTTCATGTCCTACCAGAGCATGTTCCAGGACGTCCGCGACGCCGTCGACTGGGTCCACTTCAAGGTGAGACCCCTTTGAAAGTCCTTTTCTCAGTCTGTCAGTTAGTAAATACTGAGTTATCTACAATCTCTTTACAGCCACCAGTCACAAATGACAAAAAAAAAGTCATTATAAAGAGGCCCTTAAAAATTATTCATATTTGTATGTTGTGTCTCTACTTTGACGTGTCTCAATGCTTTAATGTTCAAAAAGCTCTGTATTCTTCTCATACTGCCTGTGCTGCAGCACCTCTTTTCACCCTCTGTCTGAAGTCAGAGCCCAGTCTGCTCTGATTGGTTAGCTGGCCGGCTCTGTTGTGATTAGTCAACCACTAAGAGATGTCCCGCCCCTTAGCCTACTGCATCACGTAAAATTAGTTACATTTTGAAAATGCTCATCTCCAGTTGAAGTAGTTTGTTATCCACCCCCTGTTCAAAGCCACCAGACTCATTCACAAAAACAGTAAATTCACCTCACAGAACGTGGGATTCAAAAGATATTCAGACATTTCTTTGACTAAAAATGAAAGGGTTTGTTATTTGTTCAGATTCATGATTTCATTGTATTGTCTTTAAATGATACAAAATGGTGAACAATTCCCATTACAACTTTAAGTAGTGTGTTATCTAAGCTCTCTAATGCCACCAGACAAAAACAATAATTTTACCTCGTGGAAGTTGCAACATTTTCCTCAAAATCCATAGGCCATTAACTCTCTAGTTGTGGGAAAAAGGGCCAATAAATTCTATAGCATAATCACTTTCTATTTCAAATCATTTCTGTTGCAACTGCTCTCACATTGTGCGACCAGTTGCATCTTTTCACTATCTAAAAAAAGAAAAAACCTTGCTTTACTCTCTCCCTTTTTTTAGTACTTACTGCTAAATGCCACGAGTGCTCTGTGTGGGTAGCCACTGACAACTGTTACTCAACTGTTACAGTGGCATTAATTATTCTGACTCTCGTTTCTCTCGTTGCAGGGTACTCTCAAGCAGAAGACGGTGGAGAACTTGGAGAAATATGTTGTGAGAGATGTAAGTAGTACTTGTATTTATATAGGCAGGGGTGCACACAACTTTCTCAGTGAGGTACTCAGATGAGTACCTGGAGTCAGTGTTTGGTACTCCAACTTCCGGCTCCCCTCAAAGTTCCCATGAAGCCCTCTGTATCGCGAATATCAGCGGGTGGGGGTGCTAGTGGAGTATGATGAAGCCCTCTGTCATCGCGAATGTCAACGGGGGGGGGGTGGTAGTAAATGTCAACGGGGGAGGGGGGGGACCACAGAGCGTGTGAACGTTGTGATCAGCTGTTTTAGCGCAGTGCTGCTGTACAGGCCGACGTTAACAGCAGCCCTGCCTGTGCACACGGAGACCGACTCCGTCGTCCGGTGATCTAACCGCCTTCTGGAAAAGCTTCACATATACATCGGTACGCAAATGCGCTTTGTGACACAAGTGACGGTACGCATTTCAGATTGTTGCCGCGCATGCGTACCTGCGTACCACTTACAGGACTGTCTCAGAAAATTTGAATATTGTGATAAAGTTCTTTATTTTCTGTAATGCAATTAAAAAAACAAAAATGTCATACATTCTGGATTCATTACAAATCAACTGAAATATTGCAAGCCTTTTTATTATTTACATAATATAGAGATTTGCAGTACGCTTAAGAAACTCAAAAATACCTATCTCAAAAATTAGAATAAGTTCGCTCAGACCCAGTAAAAAAAAAAAGATTTTATAACGCAAACAATCAAACATCATTGAAAATGTCATTATAGCCTCTCAGTACTTGGTTGGGAAATCCCTTTGCACGGATCAACTGCATCAATGCGGCGTGGCAATGGAGCCATCAGCCTGTGGCATGGCTGAGGGGTTATGGTATGCCAGTGATGCTTCAATAGCGGCCTTTAGGCTCATTAGGGCATGTTGGGTCTGGTGTCTTTCAGCTTCTTCTTCACAATACCCCAGCATATTCT